AGGGGGGGTCTGTGAATGCAGAGGGGGGTCTGTGAACGCAGAGGGGGGGTCTTGGGGCAGGTCCCAGCCCCCCTTTTTGTCCCCCCCACAGGGCACCTGTCCCCACGGTGAGCAGTGCTGCTACTCCCACGAGCCCCCCCCGGCTGCCCCCTCCCCATTAAAACACGTCTGACCCGACTCGGGGGGGTTGAGTTGGATTCTTTTTTTTGGGGTGGGGGGTTTCTCAGGACCCCCCCGGCCCCCGGTACCGCACAGAGGCCAGGAAGGTTCGGATCTCCATCGGCTCCAGCCGCACGCGGCGCGGGTCCAGCCTGGCCACAGGCCGGGCTTTGGGGGTGCCTGGGGGGGTCGTGAGGGATGTGAGGAGGGGGCTGAGACCCCCAGGACCCCCCCCAAAGCCCCCTCAAGCCCCCCCGTACCTGTGGGTGTGTTCCAGAGCAGGCGGGACACGCTGTGCAGGGGGATGTCCCCCCCCAGCGCCATCTCCTGCACTGAGGTGATGGTGAAGGCCGAGAAAAGGGTCTGGGGGTGGGGGGGGGGGGGGGGTGAGGGACCCCCCGGGGCACAGCAGGACGGCGCCGGCGCCGCGCGGCTCCAGCGTCAGCAGGTGCACGTTGGGGGGCAGCGCCCGGCGCAGCCCCGACACCTGCGGGGGCGCGGCCAGGTGAGCGCGGGGGGCGGGGCCCTCACCTGGCACAGGAGAGCCTGGCCCCTCACCTGGCACAGGAGAGTCTGGCCCTCACCTGGCACAGGTGAGCACAGGAGAGTCTGGCTATCACCTGGCACAGGAGAGCCTGGCCCCTCACCTGGTGCAGGAGTGCACAGGAGAGCCTGGCCCCTCACCTGGCACAGGTGAGCACAGGAGAGTCTGGCCATCACCTGGCACAGGAGAACCTGGCCCCTCACCTGGCACAGGTGAGCACAGGAGAGCCTGGCCCCTCACCTGGCACAGGTGAGCACAGGAGAGTCTGGCCATCACCTGGCACAGGAGAGCCTGGCCCTCACCTGGCACAGGACAGCCTGGCCCTCACCTGGCACAGGTGAGCACAGGAAGGCCTGGCTCTCACCTGGTGCAGGTGAGCCTGCAGGAGAGCTTGCCCACCTGGTGCAGGTGAACCCAGAGCCCCAGCTCTGCCCCGCTCACCTGGCACAGGTGACGCCACACCCCCTCCCCTATCCCAGGTGACCCCCAGCCCCTCCCCTCCCCCAGGTGACCCCCAGCCCCTCTGCGCTCACCTGGCATAGGTGAGCACGGGAGAGCCTGGCCCTCACCTGGCACAGGTGACCCCCCCCAGCCCCTCCCCTCCCCAATGTGACCCCCCAGCCCCTCGGCGCTCACCTGGCGCAGGTGACCCCACAGTTCCTCCCCTCCCCCAGGTGCCCCCCCGCCCC